CTTCTTCAACCCAGTCATGCCAAGTCGTGGCCAAGGCAAGAAGGTTTTCGACTATATATACCATCACATGAGAACCCGGAAGGGGGCTCTTCCTCTCTAGCACTCTGACAGGTCGAGAGAATGAACAGAACTCCACTTTCTAAGAAAAGAAGAAATAGAGTTCTTCGCCTATCGAAGAAAAAGGGGGAGCTCCATCTTTGTATCTAAAAGGAGGGCAAAACAATTGTAATTCTCCTTCCCCCTCCAAGGACAGGGAAGGAAGAACTCTATCATAAATAAGATCTTTTGATATTTTGTTTGTCTAATATGCAATTGCAACTACTTTGTCTTTCGATCCGGTATTAATTAAGATTGACTATGATTTACCCCTTCATCTTTGGTTGATTTGCTCAATAAGGGATAAAAATCTTTTGAGTCAAATAATTTGGCACCGTCTGTGGGAATTTCCTAGTGAAAACACCTAGAGTTTCTCGGATCGAAGATAAAGAAACACGAGAAGAGAATCCAACTCAGACCAGATTTGAGGGCAACGCATTGAGGAAAGAAGAACCGAACGGGTTAGCAAGGTCTAGAATTCCCTGTCCTACCGGTTCCGAACACCCTGAACAAGGAAAAGGTGCTACAATCTATCCTCCCCTTCTCTTAAAACCGCCAGGCAGAGGCAAGGAAAATCTCATCCTCATCCCTCGCACTTCGCTAAATCGGGAATCAACGCAGGGGTATCTAGACTGACAAACCGAAAATCATCTCAGCATAGTCGAAACCCTCCCGGTTGGCGGCCTCTTCAAATTAAACGGCCAAAGTCAAGCGAGAAACTGCAACACGCGTACAACGCGAGCCTGTGCGAAATATTGGCACCTCGTGCCCGTGGCATTGAACCATCGATGCGAGCAACGCCAACAAAACTAGGACTTCCACCAAGGGCCTTTGCCATCAAAGAAAGATAGATTCAATCTCGTTCAAATTCGAACGGCCTGTTATTTCGATAAGTTCGAAATAACTCTCATAAGGCCAAGGGCCTTCGCCATCAAAGATAGGTTCGACCTCGTTCGAACTCAAACGGGCTATTATTTCGATAAGTTCGAAATAACACCCCTATGGCCAAAGGCCTTCACCATCAAAGATATAAAGGTTTGACCTCGTTCGAACTCAGATGGGTTGTTATTTCGATAAGTTCTAAATAACACCCTTATGACCAAAGGCCTTCGCCATCATAGAAAGATAGGTTCGACCTCGTTCAAACTCAAACGGGCTGTTATTTCGATAAGTCTAGAATAACACCCTTAAGGCCACGGGACTTCGCCATCAAAGATAGAAAGGTTCGACCTCGTTCGAACCCAAACGGGTTGTTATTTTGATAAGTTCGAAATAACACCCTAAAGGACAAGGGCCTTTGCCATCAAAGAAAGAGAGGTTCGACCTCGTTCGAACTCAGACGGGCTGCTATTTAAATAAGTTCAAAAAGAAACCCTTAAGGCCAAGGGCCTACGCTATCAAAGATAGAAAGTTTCGACCTCGTTCGAACTCAGACGGGATGTTATTTCGATAAGTTCGAAATAACACCCTTAAGGCCAAGGTCCTTCGCCATCAAAGATAGAAAGGTTCGACCTCGTTTGAACTCAGACGGGCTGTTATTTCGATAAGTTCGAAATAACACCCTTAAGGCCAAGGGGCTTCGTCATCAAAGATAAAAAGGTTCAACTTCGTTCGAACTCAGCCAGGCTGTTATTTCGATAAGTTTGAAATAATACCCTTATGGCCAAAGGGCCTTCGCCATCAAAGATAGAAAGGTTCGACCTCGTTCGAACTCAGACGGGCTGTTATTTCGATAAGTTCGAAATAACACCCTTATGGCCAAGGGCCTTCGCAATCAACGAAAGATAGGTTCGACCTTGTTCGAACTTAGATGGGCTGTTATTTTGATAAGTTCGAAATAACACCCTTAAGGCCTAGGGGCTTTGCCATCAAAGATAGAATGGTTCGACCTCGTTCGAACTAAGACGGGCTGTTATTTCGATAAGTTCGTAATAACACCCTTATGGCCAAGGGCCTTCACCATCAAAGATAAAAAGGTTTGACCTCGTTCAAAGTCAGACGGGTTGTAATTTCGAGAAGTTCGAAATAACACCCTTATGGCCAAGGGCCTTCTCCATCAAAGAAATATAGGTTCGACCTCGTTCGAACTCAAACGGGCTGTTATTTCAATAAGTTCGAAATAACACCCTTAAGGCCAAGGGCGTTCGCCATCAAATATAGAAAGGTTTGAACTCATTCGAACTCAGACGGGCTGTTATTTTTATACGTTCGAAATAACACCCTTAAGGCCAAAGGCCTTCCCCATCAAAGAAAGATAGGTTCGACCTCGTTCGAACTCAGGCGGGTTGTTATTTCAATAAGTTCGAAATAAAACCCTTAAGGCCAAGTGCCTTCGCCATCAAATATAGAAAGGTTTGACCTCGTTCGAACTCAGACGGGATGTTATTTCGATAAGTTCAAAATAACACCCTTAAGGCCAAAGGCCTTCGCCATCAAATATAGAAAGGTTCGACCTCGTTCAAACTCAGACGAGCTGTTATTTCGATAAATTTGAAATAAGACCCATAAGGCCAAGGGCCTTCGCCATCAAAGAAAGATTGGTTCGACCTCGTTCAAACTTAGATGGGCTGTTATTTCGATAGGTTCGTAATAACACTCTTAAGGACACGGGCCTTCGCCATCAAAGATAGAAATGTTCGACCTTGTTCGAACTCAAACGGGATGTTATTTTGATAAGTTCGAAATAACAACCTTAAGGCCAAGGGTCTTCGCCATCAAAGAAAGAGAGGTTCGACCTCGTTCGAACTCAGATGGGCTGTTATTTCAATAAGGTCAAAATAAAACCCTTAAGGCCAAGAGCCTTCTCCATCAAAGATAGAAAGGTTAGACCTCGTTAGAACTCAGGCGAGATGTTATTTCGATAAGTTCGAAATAACACCCTTAAGGCCAAGGTCCTTCGCTATCAAAGATAGAAAGGTTCGACCTCATTTGAACTCAGACGGGCTGTTATTTCGAAATGATCGAAATAACACCCTTAAGGCCAAGGGACTTTGCCATCAAAAATAGAAAGGTTCGACCTCGTTCAAACTCAGATAGGCTATTATTTCGATAAGTTCGAAATAATACCCTTATGGCCAAAGGGCCTTCGCCATCAAAGATAGAAAGGTTTGACCTCGTTCGAACTCAGACGGGCTGTTATTTCGATAAGTTCAAAATAACACCCTTATGGCCAAGGGCCTTCGCAATCAATGAAAGATAGGTTTGATCTCGTTCGAACTTAGATAGGCTGTTATTTCGATAAGTTCGGAATAAGACCCTTAAGGCCAAGGGCCTTCACCATCAAAGATAGAATGGTTCGACCTCGTTCGAACTAAGACGGACTGTTATTTTGATAAGTTCGTAATAACACCCTTATGGACAAGGGCCTTCGCCATCAAAGATAGAAAGGTTTGACCTCGTTCGAACTCAGACGGGCTGTAATTTTGAGAAGTTCGAAATAACACCCTTATGGCCAAGGGCCTTCGCCAGCAAAGAAAGATAGGTTCGACCTCGTTCGAACTCAAACGGGATGTTATTTCGATAAGTTTGGAATAACACCCTTAAGGCCAAGGGCGTTTGCCATCAAAGATAGAAAGGTTTGACCTTGTTTGTTTTGATACCTTAAGCAGGTTTGACCCCGAGGTACATGACTCGAGATAATCCACGGAATGAGTCTCAATCCAAAATAAAGAAAAGAAGAAGAAGAACAAAAAGAAATGAGCTCAAATACTGATGCAAATAAAGGTGCGGATTGCTCAAAATCTGATTGAAGTCACAAGCTCCGATGATCCTATTTTGACTCAATGCTGCAGAAATAAACAAGCACCTACAACTTGCGAGCATCAAGATTCAGATCGAAGTCTACAACAAAATCAGCTAAAACTCAAGATCAAGTTTCAATTGAATTATAGATAGGAATCTTGTAACTCATAGTTGATAGGCATAGCTAGCTTAGCTTTGATTTTCCTTTTTTGGTGTAATAAGGAGTTCAGCAAGCAGTAGCAGCAGAAACAACAATGAAATCACAGCTCTTGGTAGTCCCAGCTACCGACACTCCAGAACTACACTGACATGATTCCTTTATAGCCAAGGATATGTAGGCAACCTTTGAAGCAAGGTTCGGTCAGACGGTTTTCAAAATACTTCTCATGGAATACTAAGCATGCAAAAATCTCATGGTTGCTTATCTATCTTTGCCCGAAAACCCTTCGTGTCTTCGAGCAAAGAGGGGCAGCTGTGAGCACGTGATTTTTGTCACGCTTAAATTACTACTATAAATACCTTAGAATTAGAATTTTTCTTTATTATTTGAATTTTTCAGGAAATAATTGCATGATTTCGTATCTTGTTCATATTTTTTGTGTGCATTTTTAGGTGCCATAATTCATAAATAATACAAAATTAGTGTGCATTTCAATATTACAAAAAAACAAAGAAAATACCAAAAATAGTTCCTTGCATTTCTACTTTTAATTTTTTAAAATTCGCCTTAAGTTTTCTTTAAGTTAGGAGTTAGTTAATTTTGGAATATTAATTAGTATAATTTTCGATTTAATTTGGGTGTTTTAGTTCTTGATCTTATATTCGATAAAATCAGAAATAATAATAATAATAATAATAATAATAATAATAAGCAAGCACAAACACTAAAATACAAAGGAAAAGAAAAGGAGAAAAAATAAAATGAAATAAAAGCAAGGGTGACAAATATTTGGGCCAATTTCGTGCAGCCCAAACCAAAATAAAAAAAAAATTGTCCAAAATGGCCCAACTTGTCAGCCCTTACCCGGTCCAAATAACACACCTCCCAGACCTTCAAAACGACGTCGTTTTGACGCCTTTCAATCGAGCCCTTCATCTTCTCCAATCCAACGATTGTGATTCAATTGTGGTAATTAAATAAAAATGTCTGAAATATATTTTAATTGTAGAGACATTTTGCTTCTTCCTCGTACCTCTGCAGCCTCGCCGTCCTCCGCCGGCCGGAAATCGTCTCCGCCGGCGGCGATGCCCCAAATCCACCCAAAATTACATCACAGGTGCTCCTCCGCCCCCTCTCCCCATATCTGGCCTTAGTTTTTTCCAAATCCTAACCAAAACTCTCGAATTTCATATCGAAAGTCCGGCCAAAAACGCAAAATAATCCAATCTCAACCAAATTAACACTGTTTGTTCTCCTCACTCTCCTCTTTACGAATCCGTAGCCCTTGACCCTCGAATCATCTGGGAAGTTCGCGAATATTGGATTAAAGGCCGCCCCAAAACTCTAGTTTCGTGAATCGGGGTTTCTGTCGATGGCTTGACCATTATAAGGTTTAGCCGTGTATTTTCTCGTGGAAAACACACGGTTAAACACTAATATTGGTCAAGCAACTTCAAGCCAAGTCGTCTAAGGTCAGTTTCAATTTAATGCATTATGGCCGAAATTAGTAAGTTTCTCGATTTCTTTCTTCCTTTTCTTATATAATCATTTGTTTTGTTCCAATTTTGATTTGAATTTCAGTAATTGTTCCATGTTAGTCTAATTTTGATTTGTTCTTGTTCTGTTTTCTTTAGTAATTGTGATGATTAAGGTTTTCGATTTAGTTTTGATTGTAAATTGTTTCTGAATTTCAGTAAGTTCAATATTTTTGTTTTGATAGATTTTATTCTAGTCTTGATTTGATTTTGTTTAGGTTTAGTTTTGATTTTGATTGGTTAAACATTGGTTGAATTTCCTATTAGCTTTTATTTCTCAGTTAGTCTATTTGGTGTTTCAAATCTGTTTTGGGTGTTGTTTGATTTTGTTTGAATGAATTAATACTTCTGTTAGTTTATTTAGTTTAGTTTTACTTGTTCATTCAATTTAGTGCTCATTTGCAATTCAATTAGGCTTAAGGTTTGGATATAGCTGAATAATTTAGCCTTCAATTAACCTTGGTTGATTTTTAACTAAGGCAAAAGGGGTTTGGGTTGTTTAGTAATTTCAGAGAGTGGTCAAGGGTAGTTTGGGCATGGGAAAGGGCTGGTTTGTTAAGAATTAGTAATTTTAGAACCCAAATAAGGGTAGTATAGGTATTCCATAGGTAGAAGAACACCCTAGGGCCTTGTAGAAAGGGGCCTTAGTGTAAGTTTCTGCATTTTCAGAGCAGTAACTTGGGCAACAAGCCACAAATTCAGGGATTAATCACCAATTCTGAAAATAAAAAGGGGGGAAAATGTTTGAGAGTTTCCAGAACATTCTGCCCTTTTATTGCCTATAAAAGGCAGCCCCAATGCCTTCATTTACAAGTTTACACACCCCTGAAAATTCCCAAAAGTTTGGAAGCTCAAAAATTTCCCCCCAAAAGGGCCCTCTCAACAAGTCTAAGCAGAATTCAAATTTCAACCTAGATCTGATTTCTAATAGTTCAAACTCTCTTTTAGATTTCAAATTTCCAAAATCTCAAAAAAGAAACAAAAACAAAAACAGAAAATATGAGAAAATTGCAAAAAGAAATGCACTATTACATTGGTTTTTGATTTAGTTTTGTTCGATTTTCTTCTCTTTTGATTATTGGAGTTTCTGGATCATGCTGGTTTGGTATTGAGCAGTTTTGGTTTAAGTAAACTGGGTTTTGTTTGAGTTTGGTGTTTGCTGAGTATTTCTGGATGCCTTTTGAGTTTACTGGTTTGCTGTGGTGCTGTTTTGGTCAATCCCTCTGTCCTATTTGATATTTGGACTACTGCTCTGCTTTCTGGGTTAAAATTGTTGTGTTGTTGCTGGAAATTCTCAATCGTTGCTGCTGCTGCTAACTTCTCCTCTTCTTGTTGCATTCTAATTCCCAGGTACTTGGCTCGACTATGAATGACGTTTGTGATCTCAAGCTTAATATAGCCAATTGAAAAGAAATTGAAGTGCCAGTTGTCTATTTGTTTCAGTTTGCATACAGTTTCATATTTGTGTTCATGTGAAATTTTATAATGTGTATATCAATTAGGACTGTCTGATTAAGATTACTTCTCCTGCCATGGACTGTTGAAATTTGTACTCAAATCAGATCTCTTAGGGCTGTTAATTGATGTTTGTTATTCGTGGACACAGCGTGGTCTAATGTTTGGTTTTCATGGTAATACTGGGTAAGCATATGGAATCAGAATGAGGTTGAGTTTGCAATCAATTTAGAAGTATGCTCTACTATAAATATGAATAAATACTTATGTGCTAATTTGAGTATTAGCTAAAAACAAGTCACAAATGAGCATGTGAATCTCTTAGCCGGTTTGGATTCAGTGTCGCCTTATGATCTTCATGAAATTAGCTATAAACAGGTTTAGTTAGAACTCTTTTAGTATATCTGGTTTCTGTCAATGGATTCTACTTCACATTGTCACTATTAAAAATGCATGAGGTAGATTCAATTGGTTAATTGAAATGAAACAAACAAAAACAAAGTAGCTGCTCATGTAATAAGCTGAACTGGGCAGGCCACCAATACAATAAGTTTGGGCCTGTTTCCGTTGAACATGGCCCATGTCTGGGTTTATTTTCTCTCTACGCAATCACAAGCAAAATGGCATAGGGCCGGTATTAAAGCCCAAATGCTGAAGCTTCAATGAAGTCATGGACTTAATTTTAATCCTTATTTGGAAATGAAGTAACTCCTAAATAATAATGATTAATTAGGATTTTTATTTTATTAGAGACAAATAATTTAGAAAAATCATAGTTTACTTTAGAGTGTACCTTTAAATAAGCCATGAGACGAGCCTCGCCTAATAAAATAAAGAAATTGCGGGGCCCTCGGTAATTGGTTATAATAGATAAGTAGAATTCGGGATAGGCCGTTTAGTGAATTTCACGGCCTTCCCCAAAGACAATAACGTGTTAGACTCTTTAAGCGCGATTTTAATCAAATTACATTCCTAAACTCGGGTGCACATTTATGTGACCCAAATCCAAATCTCAACGGATGTCGAAATGTGTCAATAACCACGGGTGCATTGATGTGATGTGGTTCGAGACGCGTTTTCACGACGTTGCAATTCTTTTAAAAAATAGTGATAAAAGCGGTTTAAAGTTAATAAAAGCACATAAAGTTGACATGTATTAAAATCGAACTCTTAACCATTTACAACAATTTAAGCGACCGTGCTAGAACTACGGGATCCGGGGGTGCCTAACACCTTCCCTCGGGTCAACAAAATTCCTTGCTTAGAATTTCTGGTTCGCAGACTCCAATTGGAAGTCGACAATTTTCCTCGGTTCGGGATTCAAGATAAACCGGTGACTTGGGACACCAAAAGTCAAACCTTTCCCAAGTGGCGACTCTAAATAAATAAATAATTCCGCTCCGAATAATGTCACTTTAAATGAAAAAACTCCCTTATACATTATCCTCCGGGGTAGGTGTGTAAAAAGGAGGTGTGACAATTTGTGGTTGGTTGCTTGGATTTTGTTTGGTTTTAAAAACTCCCTGAACAATTGGACTGGTTCTGGCTGTTGTGAGCTCTCATTACTTGCTGCTGACCTTCTCTTCCTCTGTTGTTATTCAAAAAACCAGGTACTCATTCCTATCCTGATTGTGTTGGTGCTGATTTGACGTGGACATGCAATAAAATGGATCTCTCATTTGCTCCTGAAAGTTATGCCTGTCGATCTGTGCTGTTTAGTTTACTTGTTTAGTGTAATTTGAACTTTGATGTTTATACACATGAATTTGACTGTATGATTGGGACTGTTGGAACTACTAATTCGTAGAATTCATTCGGTAGTATTATGGGCTAGTGTAGTGTTATACTCAATCAGATTTCGTTGTTACTGAGATTAGATTTATTCTAGATTGTATAGACTGTTTTGTTCTCAGCCATCTAATGATAACAAGTTCAATGTGCTTGAGAATGATGGTTTAATTTCAATTTGGTTAATAAGTTCAATAGGTTCGAATAGTTCAAACGAGAATCAGTATGTTAGTTCAATATGGTTAAGTAATCAGCAGGTCTGTCTTTAATTTGAAGTTTGGCTTAGTTTAATATATCATTAAGTCAGTAACGGAATACTTCATTAAGATTTGGTAATCATTTTTTGGTTTATTTGAATAGCAAAGGGTCTTTAAGCTTAGTTCATCACAAATTAAGGGCCCACTGTATAAATGTTACTGATTGTCTCTCAATTATTAGCACTTTGACTTGATTCCTGTAAGAACGATTTCTAAAGTTGTGTTGCCTTGGGTAGATTAGTGAAAGTGGAATCCCACATTTGGCTTTGATGTCTGCAGCCTCCAAATGTACTTGGGCCGTGAACTTTGGCCCAAATAAGGCCTGACACTCAATTGCAGGCGCAAGGGTTCGAACCCAAGCCCTTTGTGAAGAATGGCACGTGTATGCCTTTCAACGTACATTTCCGTCTGGGCCTCAAATCAACTGTTACGAAGGCCCAAGATTTGGGCTAATGCCTATTTTACCTCGATCTAATAACAAATTATTTAGGACTTTTTCCTGTTGTTTTTTTTAGAGACAAAATAAATAGAAAAATCGTAGTCACTTCAGGATTGGCCTTTAAATAAAAATGTTGAGACGGGCCTCGCCAAATAAAATACAAATTGCGGGGCCCTCAATAAATGGTTATAATGAAATACTTAGAATTCGGGATGAGCGTTTAGCGAATTTCACGGCCTTCCCTAAAGATAATAACGCGTTAGACACTTTGGACGCGCTTTTAATAAAATTACATTCCTAAACTGGGGTGCACATTTATGTGACCCAAATCCAAATCTCAACGAAGTCGAAATGTGTCAACAACTACGGGTGCATTGATGTGACATGGCTCAAGACACGTTTTCATGACGTTGCAATTCTCGTTAAAAAATAATAATAAAAGCGGTTCGAAATTATAAAGGCACATAAGCTAAAACATGTTTTTGAAATCAGATAAAATCAAATACAATAGTTAAGCAACCGTGCTAGAACCACGGAACCCGGGAATGCCTAACACCTTCTCCGGGTTAACAGAATTCCTTACTCGAATTTCTGGTTCGCAGACTGTTAGCAGAGTCATAAATTTCCTCGGTTCGGGATTCAACCGGTGACTTGGGACACCATTAAACTCCCAAGTGGCGACTCTGAATTCTTATTAATTATTCCGTTCTGATTGTCCTTTAATTCGAAAAACTCCTTTATGCTCTTGCAGGGTGTAGTGAAAAAGGAGGTGTGACGGGCCAGTCAATTAATGTAAAAAAAGTAAACAAGAAACAAACCAACACCAACCGACGAACGAAATGAAAAGAAAAACAAAGTAGCTCTTTTTTCACTCGGCGTCATCACCACCGTCATCATCATCCTCTCCATAAAGTCCATCGTCATCACCATCTGCACCCCCATCAGCTTTGGGTGTCGCAACATCATATCCATAGTTGGCACGAGCCTCGAGAGCCTTCGCTCGCGCTTCCTCATAGGCAGCCTCAGTAACGTTGCGGCTTCCCACAAGTTCTTGAATATGTCCCGCTGGGCTTCGGCGTAGACCCAAAGCTGATGAGTTTGACGGGGAACGACAGCATAGGACGATCCAGCCTGGGCCCTCAGCCACTGATTCTCCGCCTCCAAGGCCGCGACTCGATCTGAGAACTGAAGCCTCCCGATCAATCGTGCCAATCCTCTCCTCGAGCCTTTCCTCCATAAGGGTCGCAGTCGCCCTCTCTGATTCTTGCTGGGACTGGAGCACGCGAATGGTATCCTCTAGAGACGCCTCTTTTGCCAAAGCCTCAGACCAAGCTCTCTAAATGCGCTCTAAACTGGCAACCTTACTCTCCATTACAGTTAATATCCCCCTCCACTCGGCGCTCATCTCCTCAACTCAAACACAACTTTAATCCATCTCCAACTGCATCGATCTCAACTTGCCCTGCAGGTACTCGCATGCAGCAGCGACCCCTTTACCCAATTCAAGCTCCTCGTCCTTGAGGTGGAGTTGCTCTTAGAGCTCGCTCTTGCTACGGATCGTCTGCAGCAGCTCTTGATCCCTTCTCTCTAATCCCTCACCCAGAGCCGGTTACGGGGGTCCGTCCTCAGCCGTTCGTGCAACTCACAACACCTGTTGCGATAGCGACGGTACTTCCCCAACATCTGCAAGAAAATCCTCAACCGGGTGTTGGCCCTACAGATGCTTTCCACCTCCACCAGATACGTCTTAAAAATAAGAAAGCAATTAAACTAATACTCGTTCGCACAAAGAGAAAGGCTGAAATAGGTGTAAGTGATAACATACCCACAAGCCCATAACAGCCACTTCGTCCCTCAATTCGGCATCACGGATATTCCGCATGGACTCATTCTCAGCCTCCGAACACAACAAGCTAAAATGCAACACCAAGTTATCCCCCTACGCCAAAAGGTTCACGTCGGAGGGAATCTCGAGAACATGAGCCGACCCCCCACGTGGACTACCGAGTGAGCAAGGCCTTCCTCGAACATCCAGATATCATCGGGATTCAAGTCAGAGTCGGACTCATACTCGTCGACCATTACACTATTTCCCCTTTCTAACACCGGAGGGGACGCGACCCGCCGCAGATGAAAAAGGCACGCTCGAGGTCACAACGGCGACACTAGGGGTTTGGCTCTCTGCTCCGGCAGGGCGTGTTGCGTCACCAGCAACGGGAATTCCAGGCTGAGTTGCTGTAACAACCAAATTTTTCGGGCTCTGACTACCAGCGCCAACTTCGACAACTCGTTCCACCTTTGTAGTGGACGCTGCAACAACACCTTCCTCTGGGCCCGCCGGGGGAGAATCTAGGTTAATCACTGTCAGAGGCACCATCTCGAACTCCACCCGTCGTCTCTTCGACGGTCCTTCCTCCTCCCCAGTTGATGGTGATTCATTCTTAGGGCGGATGGCACTAGAACGGGCCTATTCCTGAGAGGTGGCCTGGGCCGGAGTGACCAAGGCCGCAGATTCGCCCGATGCAGCCTCTATGATGGACGTGTAGTAGGCACTGCGACAAGACGGGCAGATGCGGACAATGGGCGTGTAGTAGGCACCCAACATCATTCAAGCCTTGCGTACAATGGGCTCACATGGGTTGGGATAAAAAGCATCGCTGTTATATGGGCTCCAGAAATCTTGGCTAACCCTATCA